CTCCCGGCACTGCGGGGACCGCGGCTGCGAGCCCGGGGCGACACTGAGGCAATCGCGCCGCCGGGGGCCGGCCCTCGCCACCTTCCGTCCGTGGTGGGGGGCGCCCCGGGTGTCGAGCCCTCGGACCAGGGCCCTCCGGAGCGTGCGTGCGGGCAGAGGGCCCCCTGGCCTGGGCGAGGCGGCGGGGACCCGGGGAGACTGGGGAACCCGCCCCAGGTCCCGAGCGTCGCCATCCTGTAGCCATAACAACCTTGGGTTTGGGCCAGCGGATGGAGAGCCCTGCAGGGCGGGGACAGGCACAGATGGCGCAGGGCCGGGCACCTGCCCAGGGGCGGGGCCCTGCGGGGAGCCCTGGGCGCAGCTGGCGGCTGCTCTGACCCCTCAGCTGGGTCGCTGAGAGTGGTGGCGACGGGGTCTCTGCAGATAGGGGCCGAGTGATGGCCGGTTCGGAGACAGGGAAGAGACCTTGTCCCTGGGAGGGGAAAGGCCGGGAAACGCAGGAAGTGGGTGCGGTGAGATAAGGCCAGGTTACCAGGACGGGAGACGACCACCTGGCACTGATTTGGACGGGCCGCATCCGATGGAATTTGCCATTTATGAAATGGAAAGTGGTGGAGAAAGGGAAGCACATTTGTCAAACGCCTATTGTGTCCCATGTCCTTTTACAGTAACATGATTAATAATCTTAACAATGCCATGCAAATGTTACTATTCTGTCCTTGATGAAAAGGGAGAGAAACAAAGGCTTAAGTGTGGGTACTGACCCATCTGTGCTTTTATGCTCTAAACACAGTTATAATTCTTGAAAATCCTGCTGATAGCTAAATGGACTAAGCAGTCGCCTTCACTTCAGAGAGAGAGTAAAGAGAGGAGACAGTGTGGACTATTCTGACCCAGCGGGGCAGAGTTCTGCGTGGCCCTGGGTGCCCTGGCAGGGACTCAGGGAAACAGTTCCGTGCTCCTTAGAGGGGTTTTCCAGGTCAGTGCGTGGCTGTCCTCCGGGGTCGTCTGTGTGAAGGATGCTCAGATCGAGGTTGAAGGTGGCCACAGGACACAGGAACTCTCCGGAGCTAGAACATGTGTGTGACGTGGATAAGCTGTGCTTACACGGGTCTCAGTGTATTGTAGAGAATGCAGATGTGTCTAACAAGGTTTGCAAACAGAAAGAAAAAAAAATTATTTGACAGCAAATCCAAGACTCTGCTGAATGAAGCCCCAAGCTGGAGTTCTCCTCAGTCTCCTCCTTGTCTCCGTGACCATGCGTGGGAAACGCTGGTGCAGACCTGCTGGCTCTGGGAGGGGAAAGGAGAGGACAAGTGCCTGGCAGTTCTGAAGGTTCTGGAATCATGGTCAGGATGAGCAGAACCCCAGGGGCTGTGGTGTTTTGTTCGGTCCCACGCACTCACCTTCCTGAGTGTTGCTTCCTTTTGCAAAAGAAGGTTACAGGCAGAAAAGTTGCATTTTTAGTGTCTGTGTGCGGTGATAGTCTGTGGAGGTGGGGATTTATTTTGGGTGACAGGGAAGGCCAGGAACGTGAACAACTGCCACGCGGAGGAAACGGCTTCTCTTCCTGACAGGCTGCACAGTACACCACAGGCAGGCCCGAGCGCGGCTGTCTGCGCCGAATTACTCCCGCGGCCCCCTTTCTGTCCTGGAACTCGGGAACGCGTTACTTGAGGCAGAAGTGTAATGAAGGTGGGAATTCCACGTGCAGCTCTTCCACCGCACAGGGAGCGCTCCTTCCCCCTCCTGGACAGCGGTTAACTCGGGAGAGGTCTCCACAGGCCAGCAGGTGCCGCGACATGTAACGGTGGGCTCCCTCCCTCCCGGGGCCTGCAGTTAGTTTACTGCTTGAGCGGAGCTACTGGGCCAGGTTTCTGCTATTTTTATTATGTATGCGGAATTTCGGCTTCTCAATCCCAGGAGGAAAGCAGTGCTAGTTTCATGTCCATTAACATGTCCTCAGATTCTTCCAGCTTCATTACTTTGGGAAAAGCGTGCTGACTCTGAAGTTTGCCGTTCTGTCTGAGAGGGCCAGTGCTCCGCTAGTGCATGTTTTGGGGGAAGTGTCCTTGCCAAGTAATGCTAAGCAGGAGTACTCGTAGGCCGCTTTGAACGGTTCTCATTATTCTAGCCGTAAACACTCGAAGCACTGTGGCGCGGCCAGCAGAGTACCTCAGCCCTCATGACGTAACACCTGAGAGGAGAGGAAGAAGGGAACGTCAGCAGTGGTGGTGGAGCCCGGCCGTTGCCCACCGCTCCTCATCTGGAAACAGAGGTGGAGAAGTCCCTCCTTCAGGAAGCCGTCACCAAGGCGCCAGTATTGACATAACTTTGTTATTTTTTTTCAAGCTAACAGTCTTAAGTTCTCAGTCATTTTTTCCCATACTAACATTTTTTGATGTTTCTTGCAATCCCTCACTGGATTAAAAAGTCTAGGGGGAAGGAGTTTGTCCTAATGTTTTATACCTTTAAATTAATATATTCTGAACATATCCTAAATCCTATCGTCTAACTCATTAAAACAGTTAACGATTTTGATCTTTTTTGCCTAGGAAGTAACATATTAAAGATCTCTGGGTTTATGCTTTATTTTTCTGAGATTTTAACAGAGCTTTTTTTCAAGTCTGAGTTCTATTTTTGATGCAAAAGTGATGAAAAACCTAGGGCTTTATGACAATACATAGCCTACAAAAACAGTATGTGATCAGGCAAGACAGGGGTTACGGTTTATAAGAATACTTCATGAAAAAGTCACAGGCTAAAAATTATTAGTTGTATTTTTGGACTGTCTAATTAATAAATGGGTGTCTGCATCATATAGGGAAGCCTCAGTTCACCTACCTTTAAATTCCTAGGTGATGATTATCAAGAAAGCTAAAGCAAAGGGAAGGTTTACTGTAAATAAAAAGTATAGTGACAAAAACTGAAACACCTTTGAAGTTATCTTTAAATTTCATAATGAGACAGACTTGGGTTATAGATATTTATATGTAATGTAAATTAGTAAGCAGAGTTGAATATTTAAGTGCTTTTAAAAAGATGGTATATGTCAGGAGTGAAATGGGCTGCTCATGCATAGACTTTAATGATTTGGGTGACTTTTATTCTATTATTATAAACTGTTGATCATTTATTTCCGTGTTAATAATAAGGTTGATTTTAATAGTCATGAACTGAAGCATCTTTGAACATCCTGCTAATCTTTCTCTCAAAAATTTATTCAGTTTGCTCCTTTTTAATAAAAATTTGATGAGCTACAAAGATTAACCTGAATAGAAAGGTGTAACTAAGCCAAACCTGAGGTGATGTCCCTGTCCCGGAGGAGCCTGTGTCTCTGTGAGTGGGAAGCTGTCTTTCAGTACTGACCATGTTGTCACTTAAGAAATGATGTGTTGTGGCTCAGAAGTTAAGAATGATTTCTTTTTGTATCCCTTGTTTGTTCTGCAGGATATTTAACAAGCTAACTTTAACACCTTATAGTTTTACTTTGTTTTTTTTTTTTGTTTGTTTGTTTTTTTTGTTTTGTTTTTCTCCGGTACCGGGAACCGAACTCACGACCTTGCGCTTGCCAGGCAGGTGCTTTTGCCGCTGAGCTAAATCCCCAGCCCCCAACACCTTGTAGTTTTAATACTGCCAATTTATAGTGTGCTTTATAAGTGAGTTTTCTAATAATTAAGAACATTGTTTTTCAAATTAAATAGAATTTACCCCTAATAAATAGAACAATTACTTTTTAGGAAAAGTCAATAAAGTAGGCAAAAATGTGAATTATCAAGCTCCTTAAAATAAACATACTACTATTATTTTATGGAAAATAAAGTGGTATAAATAATGAAGGAGACATTATTAATCTATCATCAGGTGAATATCTATTTTTCTATATAAATTTCATTGTGTGTTTTATAAGCTCTGCCCTTTAATCAGTCCATACGCTAGAGGGATTCTGGGGAATATGGTGTCATGCCTGGTCCAGAAAGAAGCCTATCAAGCTGCTCTCTAGGTATAAGTCTGAACACACATGATTTCGGATACACTGGACAGCAGCGTTACCCTGAAAATTTCTCATTAGAGACGTTGTCGGGCTTGGCCTTGGTGGAGAGACTGGGAGGTACTGTGATCCATAGGTTTGTCCTGTGGGAACCATTCAAAGCAGTTTTCGGAACTGGAGTATGCTCTGAGGCTGACAGAGGCCCACAGCTGTCTTTCTCCCCAAGGAGGGCGCAGGGTGAGCCCAGGCCCAGTGACGGGGAGCCCAAGTCGCCCACGCGCTCAGTGTTGGGCCTTCACCCCCTCTTCAGTTTTCCCTTTCCTGAAGCCCTCTCCACTGTATTAAATTCAGCGTTCTGGGGTTTTGGTATTTGTCATTGTTGATGTTTCCAGATAAATATTTGATCCTCATCGAAAGTGATCACCTTTATGGAACAAAGAATTGTTTCTTAAGGCCAAACGAAATCTTGTACAAAAATTTTTGAAACCTTTTTTCTTTATGGTGCTGGGGACTGAACCCTGGACCTTCATGCTGAGCTGCCTCCCAGCCCTTTGCTGAGTGTGTTTTTTGTTTTTTTTTTTTTTTCAGACAGGGTCTCATGAAGTCCGTAGGTTGCCCCGGCTAGACTCAAATTTGTGATTCTATTTGAAAGAATAACTCCAGTTTGGAAATATCATACATTTTAAAACAGATATTTGGAGCTGAGAATCGTCAGTAGACTTGTGATACCAAGTACTGGGTCAGTGAAAGATGATACTAATTAGAGTTTTCTTCTCTTTGTTTGTTTTTATAATACAGGGGATTAAATTCAAGCCCTTCAGCATGGAAGGCAAAGGTGGCTACCACTGAGCTACATTCCCAGCCCTTTTAAAATCATTTTGGCCCAAGGTCTCCCTAGGTTGCCCAGGCTGGCTTAGAACTTTCAACCTCCTGCACCAGCCTTCCGAGTAACTGGTATTGAACACTACTTCTGACTTGGTTAGAGTTTTCTTATTTAAATGGGCCATATGATGTATGCAGATTTTTTAAAAGTATAGTAGTGATTTTCATTACAGAATATTTAGTTTGTGGCCATTGCTGAAAAATTAGAAAATACCAAGCATGGAGAAAGGTTAGTAAAACTTTATAAATGTACTACACAAATATATTAGTTTTTATTCCAAGCTTAAATTTATATTAGAAATAAGTTTCATACTTGACACCAGTGCCCAGATTGTACTTCCTAATCCCATTCAACAGTGGGCAGAAGGAAGCGTCTTTGTAAGAGCAGCCGATTCCAGTACTGGACAAGACATTTATAGGGTGACGTGGGCAGGTCGAAGAGTCAGAAAGTAAAGTGTTCATGGCACCCGCACACACACGTGTGCACACACACAGTGATAGAAGTGTGTCAAAGGCCCAGAGCAGCCCTTTGGAAAGGAGGCCAGTGGCCAAAGTAGTACTGATTATAACACAAGTATAAAAATTACCCATGACACCAGGCTAAATAAATAAATGATTGAATAAAATAATAAACGGGGGAGAAGGGACAGGTTTCCCATGCAGAAGCATTCACATAATGTATATATAGATGTAGATACAAGTATAGATATAGGTATAGGTATAGATATAGCTATATAGATACAGAGACAAAGATAGAGACATAGACCTACCCTAAGGAAGAGCAGCACATGCCGTTCCTCTTGAAGGCTGGGCAGAGCAGGGACTTCTCCCTAAGGAGCAGAGCATGGAAAGGAGACGGAGCCGGAGGCCAGGTCATGGTGCATGAGCCTCCCAGTCTCTCTCACTATCTCAGCAGGGGCTCGGGTTCAACATGGACAGTTGGAAATGATGGTGATGGTGTGTGTCCTTGATAGGAGAGGTTGAAAGTGACACGTCGCCTCTGTGACCATTGTCCTCAAAATCTATGAGAAAAACATGAGGTTGCTTATGCTAGTGGTGAGTTCTGCAGCGTGCCCAACCAGGGATAGCAAACCTGCCCCAGGGTCCCCAACCACGAGAGTCTGAGAGCTGTCATCCCAGCCTGAGGGGGCTGGAGGACTGTCATGATTAAATGCACTGCATACCCATCATGGGATCTGGGAAGAGAGAAAAATACTATTTCAAACTGAGGAAGTCTAAGTCAGTGATGGACTTCAGTTATGGGCAGTACACCATGGTTCACTAATGGAGGAAACGTCAGTATTAACCAGTGATGTGAATAACAGGAGATAGGGTGGGGATATAGCAGACCTGTCTGCGCTGTCTTCTCAATGTTTCTAAAAATCTAACAGTTTTTTTAAACGCCTGTAAAAATGGCTCATAAAGCATATGGTGAGAAGTGGTACCCAGGGTGAACAGCTCCGGCAAGCGAGCTCAGCGATGCTCAGGTGAATGCTCTGTTGATCTCCCTAGTTCCGGGCTCCATGTCACTGCCATTTGTTTCTGCTGATAGCAGGTAGTACAAATCCCGCCATAAGAGGCGCGTATTGTGCATTAGCTGTTCGCCTCATGGCTATTTCTGTTCAAAGTGAAGTGGAGTGTTTGTGTTGCTAAAAGTTTCCAGATCTTCATCCTCACAGCTTTCATGCATTGGATTAATTATGTGTACAAATCAGCTTAAATATTTAGAAAAGGGAAGCTTTTCCCACCTGTCTTTCTGTCTGATCTTACTGATAATAAGTTCCTTCATTGGTGCCGGAGTTCTTTGGTGCTAGATGATCATTACCTTCCAAAGCTCTCTTTAAAGTGCCTAGGAAACTATGTTTCTCTCTTAAAATCTCAAGGACAAATACATTAAATACATTAAAGACTAATTTTCATCAAATGTTATGTATAGAACACCCTTCCCTGACTGGTGACTATTACATTCTACCTATGGGTCCTGTCTCCCACAACAACCCTACAAGCTGAGACTTACATTTTATATGTGCTCCAGCTAATGTAAAATGGGCAGCAGATGCTCTGCCACCTCCCGTCCTACCTATAATACTCATTGTATGTATGGTAATATACTCATGCATGCATTTACAGATACATATCTGATGCATTTACATGATATACTTCACTAAGCATATTCCTCATATTCATAGACTGTGGACACATGGACATTATGTAAATGCATATGGACACATTCACCTATGTTATGTAGGTGCATCTTTCAACATGCTGCATTTACATTTTGGACCATGAATTCCGCCCTGTCACCTTTCTGTCTGAGCTTTTATAAGCTAGGGTCCCGCTCTTCCTTACTTCTCCTCCTTCTCCATATCATTTTTGTTAATGATGCACCTGTACCGTACAGTGTCTGCTGAATCTGTGTTCTGCTGTGATAGTTGTTGCAAGTTTAG